AGTTGCACTTCGTAATGCTTTTACCGTGTCATTTCTGAGTGTGGTGTCCGTCTTCTTTCTGGCCGCGCTGATGTGTTTTGGTTCACTGGCTCGCAGTCGTGGCATGCTGTTCCAAAAGCAGTCTTTGAGGCTGCTGTCGTACCACATCCCGATGGTATGCATGATCTTGGGAGCTGTTTGTGTTTACAACAGTGATCTTTTTAGAGTTTATTGGCTTCGGGTGGTCAGCGCTGATTGCAGTGCCACCGTTTGGCTGTCTGGGTTGGATGCAGTGGCGCTTATGCACTAGATCAATGGAGCAAGAGCATGAGGAGATTATGGAGAATGATGCTTGTAAGGTAGCTGCACGCACCATCGTGTCCCACGGCAGTGTCCTGAAGGGAAGGGGAAGGCCGTGCGTGTGCAGCTGGCCCGGAAAGTACGCATCTGCTCAAGAAGGACCTCAGTGCAGCCGTGGTCTTTCTGCCTCCAGGCTCTGAAGACTTTGGGCGTCACGACCCAATCCCAAAGGCCGAAGGGATAGAAGGAGACTGCTGGTGTGTCCCCTTGTACGGGGAGGAGAAGCCTGGGGCTGTCGCTGGTGGAGCAAGTGGATAGCGAACTTCAAACTGGCGGTGAAAGAAGGCGCCAATTTGCAAGTCTACTTCCTCAAAGGCATGAAAGGTAAAGGCAAAGTTCAGGATTTCTCAACTGCCGGTGCAGAGCACTTGAAGCGAGAAGAGATACAGCTCAAGAAGAAGGACATTTTCCCGGAGTCACCTAAATTTAAGGATGCGGTGGAAGGTGGCATCCACAAGCTTTCGAAGGAAGTTCGTGCAGATGCCTCTTCACAGTATTCGCGGGAAGTGGATCGGCTGTTCCTGGCCTGGCTCCCAGAGGAAGGGCGCAACTTCATGGAGGCGGCTGAGGGCCTTGGAAGCTCTCAGAAGGCTGAGGTGGCTTGGCTGAAGAGGAGGGGGTACGGCTACGATGAGGTGGAGGTCGACATCAGCCAGTGGATTGGGGAGCAGGCAAATGAAGTCCAAGGCGAGGCCGATGCGGCCTTCACGATGGAAGAGGTCGGCTGGGATGCCTGGGCCAAGCAGTGGCTCGTATCGCAGCCGTCCGTATGCCCGTATGCATGATGCCCCAACATAGTCTCCGGATTCGGCGCTGTACAAGCTTGTGTCGTCACATTTGCCCCACTCACCGGCATACTTCGACACCGATTGGAAAGTCATGTCAAAACTCATGCGACACGGGGGAACAGAAGTTTTTGTGCTGTATGGTTGCTTGCTGTGGGCAGTTTCCGCTTTCGGATTCCTTCACCAGGCCTCTGCCCCAAAACCGCAAGAGACCTGGTCTCTTTTCAACTTGATCTTCTCTGATCAGCACCTGTACGAGCTTCAGTCAAACAATTCAAAGGGTTGGGGGATGTTGCACACTCGAGAGCACCCTGCAAGTAATGCTCAAAGAGGGGACCTGAATGAATTAATCCTTCACTGCGCTCATGGTCAATTCCGCGAAATTCTGCAATCGAAGCATTGCAGGGTGAGTAGTTTGGCACGTTTTTTTCAGGTCCGCCTTCCATTTGCAGAAACACTCCGGGGATTGGCTGGTCAAATTTGGTTGTGAGCTTCATGCCCGGAAGCAGCTTCGAATCTGGAGCCGATTTCCGACAGAATATGTGTCGGGGAAGGCTTAGCACACAGTCATGCCAAGATGATGCCAACAAACAAAGCGGCTGTGCCCCCGGGCAAATCCATGGAGTCCCGAAGCAAAAAAAAGCTTAGCACAATGAATAATGTATTCCCCTCTCTGCCCTTTGACACAAATTCTTCTGTTTGCTCCCCCAGCTCCACAATCACGGGTGGGCCTGGCCCGAGGGACTTGACACGCCTCTTATGCCCGGGAGAGAGAGCGAGCGAGACAGAGCACAAGCGTGCCCCCTCAGGCCTGGTGAAACAAAGAAAGAGCGTGCTTGTGTGTGTGTGTCTCTGCGTGCGTTCAGGTTCGGGCTTATTGGGGGTTCTTTGGCTGTTGGCTGTGCGGTAGTGGGTTTTTGCTGGCACGAGATAACATGGAAGTGCAGAAATTTCTGAAGTGCACGCGTCACTTTCGCTGTTGCCGTGGTGTCAGGAAAATTCGGGCAGATGGATTAAGTAAGCGATAATGCATCGTGGCCGCCGGAACCTGGTGGAGCTCCATTGCAGCTGGCAGTTGCGACTGCACTGCTTGTCCACCGGAGCCCTACCTCCAGTTGCATCGATGCCTTCCTGTCCAGCTCACTTTAGCCGTTAGCGCTGTAGGCATTGGAAGTTCAGA